CAGCTCAGGATCGTCAAAAGAGCTATGTTGATAAGAAAAGACAACTGATAACATTCGAAGTTGGAGATTCGATGTTACTTAAAGTCTCGCCGTGGAAGGGACTTATAAGATTTGGTAAAAGGGAAAAGTTGAGTCCAAGGTTTATTGGACCGTTTAAAGTTCTTCAGAGGATTGGGAACCAAGTTTACAAGCTAGAATTACCAGAAGAACTAGACGGTATTCATAACACTTTCCATGTGTGTTATTTGAGGAAGTTCACGGGAGATGTTCCCGATATAATTCCAATTTCTGAATTAAGGTTGGATGAAAGCAAGAGGTTAATTGAACGGGAGATCCCCTTAGCAGTAGTGTCCATCCCGATGATGATCCTTAGGTTAGGTCCCTTATGATAGGTGTTTAGGGACGTAAAGTGAGGATAACGAGAACGGGTAATCAGGGTTATTGTTGGTTGATGAAATTAATAAATTTATTATTAGTTGATGAAATTAGTAATTTTATTACTATTTGTGGGTTGAAAACCCTATATGTTCACCAGGCTCCCAAGCCTGACACACTCAGCTTTTTATATTACAGGTAGTGGACCCCGAGCATAGTTGGATGATGACGATGGATTTTTGAATTATAGGTCAGTAGTTGTAAATAACTGTTGTAAGGCTTATAATATACTATTTATGCTTTTGGTCTGTATCGGAACATGACATCTCGAAGTTTTGATATATAATGAAAATATATTTCTTTAAGAAATGTTTTGATGAATTTTTTATCATATTTTGTTTTGGGGGACAAATTCCGCAACATCTTTTGGAAGATTACTCTGATTTTATTTTAAGAGCATAAACTAAATCGGTCTTTTTTGGCTGAGAAATTTGGGGATGTCGCAATACGTATGACCAATGCACTCCCTAGGTGACCAATTCCCACTTTTAGGACTTAATGCTTAAGACCAAAACGTCCAAAACATTGATCTAACCTCTAAGGGATGTCTTAAGTCATAAAGTTCCTAACTTTATGACTTTGCATGGCTTAATGGGGTCCAAACCAAAGCCTTAAGTCTCAAACTTCATCAAAATACCATCAACTCATGCATGGAAGGACTATACTCATCAAGATCCGATTTTTATGACTTAATGACCTCAAAAAAGACCAAATATGAGACTCAAAGGTTCTGGAGTAAATTCTACTCATATATATTCTTATCAAATATTTTTTATCTTTAATTTTATATATTTTGTGGTTCTCAGTTTTATTTGACAGTTTTATTCATTAGTGAATAATACATATATATTCACATTTGATTATTACATATATTCATTTGTGAATATTACATATGTTCACATGTGGAAATAATTCTTATATGTTATTCACATATGAATTACAAACTTGCTTAGGACCTCAAAACGACGTATTTTTTTCCGAAAAAATACATTATCATTTATGAATATTACCTGTATTCATTTGTGAATATTACATGTATTCACATGTGAATATAATTTTTATATGTTATTCGCATATGAATTACATAGTTGCTCTGTGTTTTTAAAAGACATACATTGATTCTCGTGTAAAGACATATTCACTTGTGAATATTACATGATATATTTAGTTTATGCATTTCATCGAACAGTTGGCGCGCAAATAAATTAACTTACATAATTATGGTAAAAAATTAACAATTGAAGCCAATAATTACAACACAAATCAAATCCTATCAAAATCGATCAATAAACAGTAGGTTTAGATCAAAAATTGTGAAAAAATGTATGAAAAACGAAGTTTTTCAAACCTGAAAAACGATTTTTAAAAAATTCTTCAAATATATGGTTATGTTGATGCACTTTCGATTGCTATATGTTGTTTGATATTGGTGAAGTTTCGATTGATGAAGTTTCGATGACTGGTGATCGTTAAATGATGTGACATCAATAAATATCGATTATGTTTAACGATTTTGCTTTACATCAACGAAACTGGACAAGATTGAATCACGACTTATACTTAATAGTATGAATAAATGTTTTTGATGATGAATCACAACATTTTGATGAATAAACGGAGATTTTTGATGAAGAATTGATGTTTTTATGAAGTGTCGATGTTTTTTTATGAAGAACAGGTGACATTGATGTTTTTTGATGAAGAACAGATGATGTTGATGAAGAACATACAAGGTTCTAAATAACGTAAGACGTGACTTGGCGGCAATGTCAAGCCTCAAGTTTTTCCGAGCCTTGGCGAGCCACGTCGTTTGTAATGCGTGACTTAAGGCGACAATTTTGAATGTTATTAATGTTTTTATATGTATTTTCAACTATGATTCTATTTTATACATATATATGAGTTAAGGCGAGGTTTTGGTAAAGCTTGGCGGCAGGCACAAGCCTTGGAGCCATGACGAGCTTTTTAGAACTTTGAGAACAGATGATGTTGATGAAGAACATATGATGTTGATGAAGAACAGAGGAACGATCCAGATGAATGAATAACAAATGGTGTTGATGAAGAACAGCGTATCCTTAATGACTTAATCTAAATGTGTTTTACATATATAAAAATGATTGGTTGAGAATGATTCCCTCATTCTCAACCTTTTATTTTTTCTCAATTGAACTTCTCTCTCTCTCTCTCTCTCTCTATATATATATATATATATATATATATATATATATATATATATATATATATATATATATATATATATATATATATATATATATATATATATATATATATATATTGTGATTGCAATCATTTTTCAAAATTTATGATTTTGCCCCCTATAGCCTGTGTATCACGAAATAAGATTTGAAATAATCCAAGATTGACAATTTAGAAGTCATGTCACTTCTAAATCTGAAACACAAAAAGTACCTTGTTAAATGGTGGTTACATTCATTTTTGGCGCAAAAATTGTTCATTAGATGGGTGGTTATAAGACATTTTTGGCGCAAAAATCTGCCCATTAGACCCCGCAAGGGACGCTGCCCCTTTGAACCCCGTACCCAAGACGTTTATCAACCCGAGTGTGCATCTCGCACCTCCAGTCTCGGTGAGTAAATAGAACCCAGTCTATTTTAATATTAATAATAATTACACCATAAACATTAAAATCACCAACAAAATATATTTATTTATTAAACATGGAACAAATACATTACAAAGCTCAAATAAATGTAAAAAAACGATTTAATTAAGTTTGAAAAAATTAATTGCACCCAAGGAACAAAATATGATGCACTTTAAAAAAATTATATACTTAATTTTTTTATATATATAGAAACGAGGTGACCAAACTTAAAGAAGGATAGATGTTGATTGAAAGATATATTGTTTAGTATATCATCGAACAAAAAGATAATAATAATAATAATAATAATAATAATAATACAAGCGTGTATCATTTATAGAACTTGAAATTTTGATTATGTGACGTTAAAATACTTAATAATTTGATCTATTCAAATGAGGTACAACAACTTTACAGCTATCATACAAGTTAGTAAATTTTAAGTTGATGAATCAATTTATTAAATAAAAATATCACTTAAAATATAACGATATAATCAAAATTTTATTCGTTTCTTGAAATTTTGTAAGTTATAATAAATTCAAACAAGAATGTAACGATTGTGAATTTGTGATGGTGATTAAATCATCAACTAGTCCAAATTCCAGGAACAAAAAAACCATCCAGTCAAAGATAAGTTTGTTTCGAGGACCAAATTAATACCCAATTACCATTTTTAATGAAAAAAGAAAGCGACATTTGTTTTGACTTGGACGTGGTTTTAGGTTGTTCATATGATAATAATTATACGGTTTTTTTGTATGGAATAAATTAATAGTTTGGATAAATGTCAATAGACCAATAGGAACATCGAGAGGGTAGAACGCTGTGTGACCAAGTATGTGTGACCAAGTATCCATGTTTGGTCTAGCATTTGTTCAAGGGAAAATGACTTAAAGGGCGTGTTTGGCAAAAATAACTGTTAGCTGGAAGCGGTTAGCGGCTAGCTGGTAGCGGGGAGTTGTAGCTTTTATGTGTTATATGAGTGTTTGACAAAAGTAGCTGGAAACTTTTGAAATATATAAAATTACATAAAAGGACAAATGATTAAAAATAAATAAATATATAAATATATTTTTAAAGGTAATTATGGAAATTGATTTCAAAAGCTCAGTAGCGTTTTGTTAAATGCTACATGAAGTAGCTTTTAGATTTGGAGCGTTTTGTTTAAACTAAAAGCTAAACGCTCGTACTGCCAAATGAAGCTTTTTTTGTTTAAACTAGAGCGTTTTGTCAAAAACTAAAAACTAGAAGTTTCCAAACGCTTCCAAAAGCTCCGTGTCAAACACGTCCTTATAAGTCCAACGAAGATTTTAAACCGTTCAAAAAATCTTAATTATGTTTTGTATGTTCATAGAAAACCCAACGAACTTAACATTTTGTCTAAAAAGGCCCAACTAACTTACATTTTTGTTCAATTCTCATTAGGATCAACCGGCTAATGAAAATTAACGAATGACATGCCTTATGACGTGTAATTAAATATCGGGAAAATGACTTTTAAGACCAACGAAGTTTCAAAACCGTTCAAAAAACCTCAATCATGTTTTGTCTGTTAAAAAAAACCCACAAACTTACATTTTTGTTCAATTCTCATTAAAGTCAACCATATTCATTAGGTATACAATTACTTGACAAATGACATTGCATTATATTTAATGATATGGAATAAACATATTAGAATTGCATTTTATATATCGATTTAGGGCTTGGAGAAGAGAAAAACGAACAGCATCTGTGTTCGATCTTTTGTAATGCTACCCCTTCTTCTTCCTTCCAATCTTTGAACGGTTTCAAAACTTGGTTGGTCTTACATGTCATTTTCCCGATATTTAATTGTGGTTTTTTTAAACGGTTTCAAAACTTCCTGGGTCTTACAACTCATTTTACCGATATTTAATTTCACGCCATAAGTCAGATCATTCGTTGACTTTCATTAGTTGGTTGACCCTAATGACAATCAAACAAAAATGTAAGTTAGTTGAACTTTTTTTTAGATAAAATGTTAAGTTCGTTAACTTTTTTTGAAAAGACAAAACATAATTGGTTTTGGGCTACCTTATTTGGGATAAAATAATTTTTTATTCCCCCGCCCCCGCCCCCAAAATCTCCATCGTTTCGACCCCCACCCCCGCCCCCGAATTCCCCTTCTTACCCCCGCCCCCGCCCCTGTTCCCCCGCCCCCGATTGATTTTGGGCTACCTTATTTGGGATAAAATAATTTCTTGTTTGGATTAAAAGAAACTATTTTTTGAATAACAAATAGTTATTTGTAGCATAATTTTACATATTACAAACAACTTAAAAACATGTTTTTTGTTGAATTTTTGTACGTAAAAATCATTTTAGCGTTTATTATATTTATATAATTAATATATGTCAATATATATAATTTATTAAAGGGGACCCCCACGGGGGTTTCGGAACGGGACTGCCAACCCCCGCCCCCGCCCCCGCCCTCGAAACTAAAACGGGGTTAACCTTGCCACCGCCCCCCCCCCGCCCCCGCCCCCGCCCCCATCCCCGATTTTTTTCAACAAATTCCCCCTATACGGGACAGGGCCCCCACGAGATCGGGGTCCCACGGGACTTTTTGACATCCCTACATATAAAGATATATATTGTTTTGAATTTAGGGATGGCAAAAAACCCCATACCCAATGGGGAACCCGCAACCCGCACCCGTTTTGACTGGGGAATCCCCAAGTTGACCGGGGATGGGGATGAGGATAGGGAATCCAAATAAAAAAGTGGGGATGAGGATGGGGATGGGGATACCCTTAATCCCCGACCCTAGATCCGCCCCTGATATATATATTAATATATAAAAATAATACATAACATATACTTACAGTACAATTTACAATACATAAAACTTGATCGAAGTAACCTAACTTATTAGTAATTACTTAATTAAAATTATACTTTTTTTTCTTTTATCTAATTTGAACTCGTGCATAATTTTTTTTTTCTTATTTTGTTTATCTAATTTATCTCAAATATCACTCTGATAATTTTTTTCTTTTTGATCTTTTATGTATTTATTTAAATTTGGTAGAATTTTTTTTTATATTTTTAACAATCTATGGATATTTTCATATTTTGTAAAATCTTTAAACTTATGCCGGTAAAACTGAAATTTAGAGTTTTCATTTACGTAAAAATTTTCATATTAAATAAGGAAAAAAAATCCTTGATTCTCCGCTGGGGATCCCCAGTCCCTATTGGGGGCGGGATGAGGGTTTATTTATATTCCCCAATGGGGATGGGGATGAGTATGGGGATTGGAATGAGAATTCGGGGACGGGGATGGGGATTGGGGTCCCCTGTATTCTCTGCCCGCGTTGTCATCTCTAGTTTGGATGATTTTTCTAAAGGCATAACCCTTATACGGAAAATCATAGTAATGTTATGCTACACCACACCTCTCAAAAGAAGATTTTAATGAAATTGGCAATAAAAACTAAGACGTCCCTGGCTCCAAATACAAGAACCCTATGAAAATTCAACTCATAGAATATTTGAATACTGAGTAGTTGACCAAATTTTTATTGCAGCTAAGAAAAAAAAACATACCTTTTTAAGGCAACCCCATAATAGATATCTCTTCTTTAATACTCTAATTTCTCCATTTTACAAATCTTAAGCTTATCCGTGCATAAAAACAAATAGTTGATGTGCATGATAAGTGATTGAAATTAACACAAAGAAGAATACATGAACACCTTCAGATGAATCAGACATACATATCATTATCCCTTTTAATAATAAGTTTTGTTTACTGATACTTCAAAAATAATGTATGTAGGGATTCCAAATTATTGGAACTTGGATACCCAAACAGTAAAACACTAAATAACATAAATTGAGTTATAAGATAGAACAAAATTCACAAAAGAGAAAGAGCGGAGAACCGACAGAAGACGAAAAAAAAAAACGGCAATTAGGGCACCAAATGCTACGTTTAGAAGGGAGATTTCGATTGAAAAAGGTTTAATAACCTCTTGAAATCAAAGGAAAATAACTGTAAATGTTGAGGGTAAAAATGGTGTTGTAAGGAGATTCTTTACCTTTGTCGATCACCAAGAAGAAACTTTTGAATGATGCTAAGATGCAAACCATTAAAACCCCCAATCCTCCCAATTCTTCCCTAAGTTTCAACAATATCAACCCTAAAAAACAAATAATCCCAAAACATTAATTTCTCTATAGAAAATAAAAGAAGGGGTGTTCAGTCTATTTCCACAGAACAATAAACGACATTTGTCCGTCATTTTCACTATAAACAAGAAAACAAAAATCGACTTATCAACAGAGGACATCGGGAGACGGAACAAGAGTGAAAGAGAGAATAGGGGATCGACCATACAACCGTCCCTCTCTCTGTAAAGTGTTGGAATGGAGCATGACACATGCAAACGAGAGTAGAAGAAATGGCATCTTCAAAGGATGGATATTGGGGGAGACGAAGCCTAAGACGGATTTGGTTTCTGCATCCAAAATTGAAATGTGATGTCCTGAGTTTTCTTGACAAACAAAGAAGAAGAGAAGGATAGGAGAAAGGGAAACGGTACATATCAAAGGAGTCGGTGTTGATAGCGTAGACCGGTGGCAGTGGAACTGTGAAGCGGTGGAGGTAGTGGTGTATCGACGGCTCCTTATGAAGATGCGACGTTCTGGATCAATATTGATGTAGATGGTGTCGGTCGGAAGATAGGTACGTAGCATCTTTGGAAGCGGGTGAAATTGGTGTAGGCGGCATCAGAAAAATAGGGTTTATATATATATATATATATATATATATATATATATATATATATATATATATATATATATATATATATATATATATATATATATATATATATATATACTAGAAACATTTGATGCCCGTGCTTGCGAAGGTTCTTTAAAACAACACATGGACAGTTTGATGATGCTGAGTTTCAGGGTTTGCTTTTGATATATAAAATGAACCAACTGTCAATAAGGAAATGTAAGCACGATAAATAATATATGCATATTGATATTACGAATAAATAAATATAAGGTTTGTCGGTCTATATTGTTCATCAGAAGAAAGTACGTTGCTATTTTTTGGAATTTTTTAACTTTCCTCCATTTATGCATATTAACTAAGCGCAAGTGTGATAAACAGTTTTGCTTGTTCCATATCAACCTTTTTGAAATATTTCCCTTCAAAAATGATACCATTAGTTCCATTATATTAAAAGTTGAAAAAACGAAGGGTTGTATTTACAACAAAAGCAAAAATTTTAAAGGACATAAGCACAGTGCATTCTTGCAGCTAAGTAAAAAAATGAATCCATTATTACAATATACTCTGTCCCAAATGTGGGTACTCACTGAAAGAACATAAAGACGGTACTGTCATGGTTAAAATAGCATACACAGTATAATGTACTAAAGATGGGAAATAGCAATGTACTTAAAAATAAATCAATACAATAGGACAGATAAAAATAACAAACATGCCAGAATTCCTAGGTAGTGTTCTACAATTTCCGTAACCATTATTATGAATGTGATCAAGCTTATGATCTTATTCAGTAATGGACAAACCTTTCCTAAAACCACCATTTTTTTCACAGCAAGGTGTTCTTCCTAGGATTATTACATCAATCTCTAGCTCTACTATGTTATAGAGATATGCACATGGAGATACTTTTGCATGTAGAACGGAGGTAATAACTAATAAGTATAAATATCACCATCCCCCCACTCAAACAGTAAACTATTTTAACAATCTTTGGTCAATCTGTTACTGTTATACATTGACAAATGTTTAAGCTAAAGTCTTGATAACCAACCGACTTAAAATTCAAGATGAATCGCCTATCATGAGAGAAAGGGAGTATCATTGAATTAAGTCGTAAAAGTTAAAGGTGATGATAGCGGCTTAATATGAGTTTATCTTAAAGCCGGCAGATTCAAATAAAATAAGAATGGGTTGTTTCAGGCTTTTTAGGTAATTCAGGGACCAAACGTGTAACAAAAACAAACAGTAGGGACCTTTCTAGTTAAAAAAATAAGTTATGGACCAAACACGCAAACTACCATAAACCATAGGGACCATTCGTGTAATTTACTCATTCACTAATTATAAACACGGACACTTTGACCTACAACCCTTCTTTTTCCTGAGAAATCCAAACAAAAACATTACTGTCGCCATCATTTAGTTCTTATTAGCAATACAAATTACATATCACACATACATGGTCAAAGGTTAACACATGAATTAAACATAAGCATGAGATTATTACACGTGAATTGATTTCATAAACCAATTGTTACTCATATGATATGAAGATAATGGGAAAAAAAAAGGAAAAAAAATTGAATCCAAATATGTTGGAAAAAGTGGGTTTTATACTAACTTATATATGGATCATGAGTGGGCAAACAGGGATCCTAAGAAAAGACAACATCTAAAGAACCGACAACAACAAATATAGGAAAATAGCAGAAACTAAGAAGATTACAAAATGAACAAACAAAGCCATTATTTTCATATCATAACTGTGATGACAACTATCGTAATTCATAAACATATAAAACCATTTTCATTGTCAGGTTGTCACCTAACCGAAGGCATACTATGAATGCTTGAGTATATATCCTAAAATAAGATAGGTGGTAGCAAAGCCAAATATAGCATGAATCTATGGTAAACCAAGATTATTGATTATGTAAAAAGACCAAAATCCATTAAAATCACATATGCAGAAGAGTTTATCCCCCATTATGAGCGGAAATCCATCAAAGGGTCTGTTTGAAACCTTTTATTATTTGGTTTGAATAAATGTAGCCGGAAGATTGAAAACTTAAACTAAAGTCTGAAAAATACATAATTTCTTTTTCTTTGATTCCAAAAGAGAGTATACATAAACATCACATATATTTCTTGTTTTTAATTGGTTTAAATCACAAAATACTAAATGAAAATCTACATGCACATACACAGAGATGAGAGAGATGCACACAAGACAAAAACAAACCTGCTATTCCAAAATCCTGCTTGCAAATAACATAGTTTCAACAACATTGTGCCGACTTCAATAAGAAGAGAAAAAAAATGTTGATTTCTCTGTGGTAATTGAAAATCTTATAAGTTATAATGAAACGAAATTGAATGATCCAACCTTTAGGTACCTTCAAAGAAGAGGAAAATTTTCATCAATTGAAACCCTAAATTCAACCAAAATTTGTACCCAAAGAAACTAACTATGCATGCTTTAAAAAGAAACCCACGTTAGCAAATGCAAAGAACAGATGCACATACAAAAAAATTTTGGAAAGGGGATGAACATATGATAAAAGAAACCGAAATAGCACCTTGTTGAAGGAGAAAGAGAAGTTCCACAATGAAAGAATGTGCTACACCATGTTGACGGAAATGTCGCCCTAAATTCTAGCCAAGGGGAGAGACCGATCTTTATGCCTCCATCCTTTAATTTGATTGTAATTGTACTGAAAGATGCCATCAACTCCCTCTGCAACGTCCTATTCTTATAAATAATTATAATAAAATCATTCAAAATTAAAACTTTAATTATCTTCTGCAAATCATGGATTTTCTGCTTCCACTCGTTTTCACATAGTATGCTGTTTTTCCGGTTCAAAGATGTAAATAACATAAGCCCTAAATCGCTTTGGATTGAATTGCGATTTTGATTGATGAATGTGAGTTTAATTTTTCAGTGTGGGGCATGCTGATCGGGGCGGTGGCGAACATGAGATTTTAGGGTCTTAATAGAGCGTGATATACGATCAAAATGAGGCAATTGATATGAAGAACAGAGAAGCAGAGGGGTAAGAATTGAAGCGATGGTGGAGACAATGGAGCGCAACGTAACGGTGGGAAAACCGTGTAGAATTACCTTAATCCCTTGGTCGGTGTGAATCAAATTTGAAGTCCATGGCGTCGTTCTGGTGATAGATTATGTCGGTTAAGGCAATATGGCACATGGTAACATGAGGAAATGAGAAACGACGTCGATCTCTATGGCATCGTTCAGAAGATAGTTTACGTGGCGTACAAAAAACCCTATAAATCTGATATTGGCGACACGAGAAAAAAAACTAACTATGCATGCTTTAAAAAGAAACCCACGTTAGCAAATGCAAAGAACAGATGCACATACAAAAAAAATTCGGAAAGGGGATGAACATATGATAAAAGAAACCGAAATAGCACCTTGTTGAAGGAGAAAGAGAAGTTCCACAATGAAAGAATGTGCTACACCATGTTGACGGAAATGTCGCCCTAAATTCTAGCCAAGGGGAGAGACCGATCTTTATGCCTCCATCCTTTAATTTGATTGTAATTGTACTGAAAGATGCCATCAACTCCCTCTGCAACGTCCTATTCTTATAAATAATTATAATAAAATCATTCAAAATTAAAACTTTAATTATCTTCTGCAAATCATGGATTTTCTGCTTCCACTCGTTTTCACATAGTATGCTGTTTTTCCGGTTCAAAGATGTAAATAACATAAGCCCTAAATCGCTTTGGATTGAATTGCGATTTTGATTGATGAATGTGAGTTTAATTTTTCAGTGTGGGGCATGCTGATCGGGGCGGTGGCGAACATGAGATTTTAGGGTCTTAATAGAGCGTGATATACGATCAAAATGAGGCAATTGATATGAAGAACAGAGAAGCAGAGGGGTAAGAATTGAAGCGGTGGTGGAGACAATGGAGCGCAACGTAACGGTGGGAAAACCGTGTAGAATTACCTTAATCCCTTGGTCGGTGTGAATCAATTTGAAGTCCATGGCGTCGTTCTGGTGATAGATTATGTCGGTTAAGGCAATATGGCACATGGTAACATGAGGAAATGAGAAACGACGTCGATCTCTATGGCATCGTTCAGAAGATAGTTTACGTGGCGTACAAAAAACCCTATAAATCTGATATTGGCGACACGAGAAAAAAAACTAACTATGCATGCTTTAAAAAGAAACCCACGTTAGCAAATGCAAAGAACAGATGCACATACAAAAACATTTGGAAAGGGGATGAACATATGATAAAAGAAACCGAAATAGCACCTTGTTGAAGGAGAAAGAGAAGTTCCACAATGAAAGAATGTGCTACACCATGTTGACGGAAATGTCGCCCTAAATTCTAGCCAAGGGGAGAGACCGATCTTTATGCCTCCATCCTTTAATTTGATTGTAATTGTACTGAAAGATGCCATCAACCCTCTGCAACGTCCTATTCTTATAAATAATTATAATAAAATCATTCAAAATTAAAACTTTAATTATCTTCTGCAAATCATGGATTTCTGCTTCCACTCGTTTTCACATAGTATGCTGTTTTTCCGGTTCAAAGATGTAAATAACATAAGCCCTAAATCGGTTTGGATTGAATTGCGATTTTGATTGATGAATGTGAGTTTAATTTTTCAGTGTGGGGCATGCTGATCGGGGCGGTGGCGAACATGAGATTTTAGGGTCTTAATAGAGCGTGATATACGATCAAAATGAGGCAATTGATATGAAGAACAGAGAAGCAGAGTGGTAAGAATTGAAGCGGTGGTGGAGACAATGGAGCGCAACGTAACGGTGGGAAAACCGTGTAGAATTACCTTAATCCCTTGGTCGGTGTGAATCAAATTTGAAGTCCATGGCGTCGTTCTGGTGATAGATTATGTCGGTTAAGGCAATATGACACATGGTAACATGAGGAAATGAGAAACGACGTCGATCTCTATGGCATCGTTCAGAAGATAGTTTACGTGGCGTACAAAAAACCCTATAAATCTGATATTGGCGACACGAGAAAAATAGGGTTTATATATATATATATATATATATATATATATATATATATATATATATATATATATATATATATATATATACTAGTCGTTACCCGCGCAAAGCGGCGGCGGCAAATAGTTTCATTTGGCAGTTAGTTCTATTCGGAAACTTGTTATACTTCAAGGAGCACAAAACAAATATATTGTTATCGGTTGGTTGTAACTTGTGACTCTCAAAATAAATTTTTAGTGTACATGGTATTTTGATACCCCTTCTCGCGGTTATTTGTTTCTTTTGGCAAGTTGATTATGGATAAAAAATAAAAGGACGTTCGAAAAAACACAAAATATTATTAGCATTCTGTGATTATGTCAAATTACAAACTACACGCAACACACCGAAGAAATATCAAATTTAAAAAAAATAAATGTCTTTTATCTATCATAATGGTATATTCGGATTTGTTCAAGTAATGTTTCATAGTTGTGAACATTGGAAGAGTGTACCAGCTCTTGAAACCAAAATCATTTTGGAATTATTGATTTTGAAACTGGAACGCATGTGGATATATGTTGGTTACTTAGATTTGGAGTTGCTATGGATCAAACCCAATTCCATTTTTCGTTCCTTTTTTGGATTCGCTACTGGTTGGCTATCTACCAAGACCGGTTGTGGAACTGATATTTAAAAACCATTGGATATTTATAACAGAAGAAATTAAGTATAAAATAATAAAGAACAATTTTGATTTTTTATATACGAAAACTAACATAATTTTAAAAAAAATTCTCCATTGGTCATAAATTTAATTCACTTTTCCATTATTTCCTTATTTTTCTTTCGACTGATAATTTTCTTTCAACAAGTGGTAATTTAATTCATTTATTCTTTTTTGTTTATTACAACATCATTTTCATATTTGCAAACGTAATGTTTTCAGTTTCTTATTATTATAAGCATTTTTATCTTTGAAAATATTCTTAATTATAGCATTTGTGATATGATTTATACCAAGCCTAAGATTTGAACTTTGTTGATTAACAACCCGATTCAGCTACTATTCATTGGAATTACATTGTTGTTTTCCATCCTCTCATCCACTGCCAGCTTTCTTTGGGTTTTTCAACTAATCAAAATGCTCTTTTTCTTATGCAAGAGATAAACATAGATGTCATTTATTTAATTAATAGAGCATCTTACTTTAATTTCTTTCAATTATAAGATTGTGCTTTTATGAATGTCGTGAAGTACATTGCATTTAACGCTTTAATTGATATGTGTCAAAAGGTGTTCAGGTGATATAGCACAAAATGAGTCAAACCCTATCAAGAAAAGTAAGAACTTATAAATAACAATAACTCTAACGCAAGCTCATATTAGTCATTATAAAGTAAGAACTTATAATACCAATAGAATATACCTTCCTCCAATCCAAGTTTCGCCTTATTTTCTGTAAACATGGAAAAAACTTATATCAAAATTGAATTCTGAAACCCCAACAGTTTTTGGTTCACTGTTTTAGCTAGCCCAACCTGGGTGTCACTAAAACCCACTCCCAGTTTTAACAATTCCGTCCAACTTTTAGAAAGAAAAAAAAAGTAAACATCATACATGTAGTTCCAAAGTTGAGAACTAACTACATGTTTTATCATCTTCAGCAGATCATAAATTATGTGTACGATGATTATTGATTAGGATCTAAAGAAAGAGCCTTCTACAATACACAATTTCCTTTTCTTGTCATTATCTTGTGCCTGCAAATAAAAATAAAGTTTAAATATGGAACAAAATTACAATACGTGTACAGAAAAGTCTAATATTAGTTTCTTTATTTCACACTTTTGGTCTTCTTAAGTAAATTAATTCGTCAGTCCAAAATATGCTTTTTTTAGTTCACTGTGTTTTGGGTCAAGCGCAGCCCTTTTTGGTAATGCATGTGAAAAATAATTAGATGTTCACTAATCACTATAAGAAAACACTTAAATTATTATTTTCATTTAGTTTCGGATTATAAAGAAAATAAACCTTGTAGCAACATCATGGTCAACTAAATAATAATAGGCACGACCACGCAAGAAGCAATGCCTCTAGATTATCCTCATCGTCTTTAAGCGTATATCCAGATTCCGAAATTACCCCTGAATAATCCTCGGCAGCTAATAATAGCTTGAGTTTCAATAGTTTATCCTGCCACATGGATGTTGTATTTTAATATGAAGAAGAAACACACTAAATGAAATGAAAAATGAAAATGTTGGAATATACGAGTTATTACCTGTGAGTATGCAGGAGAAAAACAAGAACCACTTTATTAATGAAATCCAAAGATTTAGTGTAATTGTAATCGTCATGTTCAAAAAGATTGTTGGTTTATATCTAAAGCACCATGTGCTTGATGTAACTAAGAAAGCTCCTTCTCCACGACTGAATTTTGAGGCTTCATTTTAAGAAATTTTTATAGATCTGCTCTGATTCCTTGTATCTACATGATAACCAAAAATCCCTTGAATCATATAACTTTCTAATCAGGAACTACATGAAAAATTTTCTTCAACCAATTAGAGGTCCCAACTGTTTTTAATTCTCAAGAAATGTAAAGCCAATTGAATTAAAATTGTGTGTATTTAAAGTTTAAAGAAGAACCTGCACAGGTGACCAAGAACTGAAGCTCGACTCCATTATGCTTCAGAAAGCTTCAGATATGGTTAAGATCATTTATTACATCACTATAACGTCTCACCTCCATATTACATGAAGCTCTCTCAAACAATTCAGTAGCAACCCCTGTGTTTCCATTTGGAATGCCATAAGCAGATTCATACCATTAGTTGTGCAAGTAATGGTCGTCAAAGAATAGAAGAATCTAAGGCAATCCCTTTTTACCTTCAAATTTTAGGTACACGTCAATATATAAAATCACTTCGAATTTTAGCTACAAATCAATAATAAATCACATAAGCTCCAATTCAAATTCGAAATTTCAAAGTTCAGGCCCGGAAAACACTTAATCAGTATATCAAATTGCAATCAGAATAACCACTCATCGAAAGTTCATGAATTGAACTGGCAATAACGAAAACATTCATATAAAATATTAGAAAAGATTCATGATCATATTACCTAGGGAAAAACGAGAGGTTGAAGAGCAAAGATGAACTGGAGGATGAATACATACATTAACCCTCTCAATGCTACCAAATCCATAGCTGAGACCATCTTCAATACTTTTATCGTCGCATTACAACGTGTTTTTGTATAATATATAAGTACACACTTTATGTATGTATGGGAAATTGGGGAGAGGAAGATCATAGGTGGTGTGAGGGCTAGGGTTTTTTTAGATTGAGGATGAGAATGTAGAGAGATAGAGGGTTTCGATTTTGAAACGGAGATCCGGGAATGAAGATAAAGGAGGAGCGATTTGAATGAGTCTCCTCGTTTGAATGATTCTCCCATGTTTTAAGCAAAATGTGTTTTAAATTGCAAATTAATGGGTCAACATAAGGTATTTAAAATGAAATTAACATGCATTGCATTGGATGTTTGTATTATTAGCTTAATGGTTTGAACGTCTTAAATCTATTTTTAGAAATAGTAAGATTTGTATAATAATATAGTAAGATATAGTAAGATATATATATATATTATATATATATATATATATATATATATATATATACCAGGTTATAGGTTATAACCCGTCTACTAAACGGTTTTATAAAGTAAATAATTTTAAAACTTAATAGGCATAATTATAATTAGTAATAGATTTGCAAACAATTATCTTTTAAGAAACTTAGATATTTCATCTGGAACTATCTAATTGTTAACTTAAATCAATTCGGGTGAATTAATCTTAGTAAAACTTTCAATATCAACATTTTAAATCATTTTTACCACAACAAAAAAAATAAAGTTACCATCCATTTTGACAATTTCCATCGCAGTGCATGCGAAAACAATCAAAATCAACATTTTTATGCTCACATAATCACAATTTCCTTTAATAACAACACTAAGCCAATATGTCGTTTGATGATTTTTATACATGAAGA